AGTTAAAAGTGAAGGTGGGGAAGGGCCAACCCCAGGTCCAAGAAGACCCAACTGCAAAGTGGGGTCAGGTTGTGCAGGGCTGTGTCCCCCTGAGTCTCCAAAGGTGGAGCTTCCCTCACCTCTCAGGGTGCCCATCGCAGTGTTACATCAATCCCATGGGGAAGACTTTTCCCATCTCTGGCTGGAATTTCCCCCACCACAGCTCCTCACGTGAGCTGCGAGCCCGGGACTGGTGGTTCGTATAACAGGGAGGATCTTGTCCCCTGGAGCATCCCTTTAGGGGAATCCTTCCTCTGGACGTTAATTGTTACCCTGCAGTGAGCACCACTGCTGTGCTCTGACTTACCAGGCAAAGCGTGTTGACTTGCGAGGGCCTCCTTCACCCAGAAGACCATTGAGACCAAGTAGACTCCCATTGCCTAGGAGACCCCCTTTTCCAAGCAGCCCTGTGCCAAGCAGACCTTTTTCTCCAAGAAGGCTTGTATTGCCAAAGAGGCCATTGCCGAGGAGACCATTGCCGAGGAGACCATTGCCAAGGCCTTCTCCACCAAGGATGCCTGTGGCAAGGCCTTCCCCACCAAGGATGCCTGTGCCAAGCAGACCACTGCTGCCAGGTTGTCCTCCTGCAACAGTCAGACCTCCGTTACTGTTCTGGCTTTCATTGCCTGGAAGCCCTCCTCTCCCAAGCACACCCATGCCAAGTAGACTTTCCTCACCTAGGAGGCCTGTGCCAAGGACCCCAGATCTGCTGGGTTCATTTCCTGCATCAAGGGGACCTCCACTTTCTTCTCCACTCGGACTTCCTCTGCCAAGGAGGCCAGTACCAAGTAGCCCACCTTCACCAAGCAGGCCTGTGCCAAGCAATCCACTTTTTCTGCTGATGAGACCTTCACTGCCAAGAAGACCAGTACCAAGCAGACCTGCACCAAGGAAGTCCCAGTTACTAATCAGACTTCTGCTGTTGGAAAGATTTGATTGACAAGAAAGGTTGGTTCAGGTACATTAGGTTGACCTGCTCGTGAGGTCTCGCAGGGACCCATGAGCACCCTTGAGTTGGTTTCCTCATGGAGCCGAGACTGCCAGGAGGCAGGTCCCTGATGAGCAGAGGGACACTCCATGAGCCCAGTGTGGCACAGGACACACAAGGAACGAGGTGGGCATATGGCCGCCTGTGCCATGACGCTCCCCAGGGAAACATGGAAAACTTCTGAGCTCACCATCTTTGGGTTGCGCTGGGCTCAGCCCAAGGACACTGCCCAGGTTGAGGAGGCCCTGGGAGGGGGGCAGGAGGCTCCCAAGGAGGACGAGACACCAGAAAGGCAGCATTGCCGGTCCCAGCACCTGCGGAGAGATCCATATCAGCCCAAGCACAGCCCCACTGTGCAGGAATTGGCAGCCTGGGCACTGGTCCAGCTCTCCATCCTTCATGTGTGCTGCCCTGACGTGGTGGAACAGATGCCCCCTGGACATGCAGGCATCATTCCCCAGCCCGCAGGACCAGCCCGGACCACAGGACCCTTTTCCCACCCAGAAAGGTCAAACTTCTGGTTATCAGGGAGCAACTGGAGCACAGTGACATGCTGCTCTAGAGTCATTGATGTCCCCGTGCCCGGCTGGGTGACCCCACCACAGAGCTGGCTGCCTGACGTCGCAGGGAAGTTTGGAGGGGAAAATGCCATTTTAAAGAGCAAGAGGGATGGAGAAGAGGCAGGAGAACCTTGTACCGAGCGAGACAGATGGCTTCTGACCGCTCTGAAATGGCCCTGAAAGAACATTTTAAGGGGCACAGCCGGATAAAAAATGGCGTGTGTCAAAGTTGTGTCCTTCTCCTCGTTCTGAAGAACACTTTGCATTATTAAATCCCAAAGCGCAGCCAAAACCAAACTCACTTTTCCGTGGACAGGTTGTTTGTTTTTCTCATCTTGCTCTATTCAGGCTATGACAAGAGTCCACTTTCCCTGTACTTGATCTGCCTCTAGTCAAAAGAAAGGACCTTCAAGGACCTCGTGTTCCTGCGTGAGCTGGACTTTCTGGGGTTGCAACCAACACTGTGGAGCGTTTGTTTATACACAGAAAGGTGTTTGCAAAGAAACGAAGAGGCAGTGGCTGAAGCACTGACGTCGGTCCCAGTTTAAGGGAGCAACCGCCTGCACAGCCCACGTCCCAGCCCGGACACCCCGGCTTCTCTCTTCCAAGAAAAACAATGTACACGCTGCAGATACGAGGATCCGCAGCGAGGATAACATTATTATCTGTTGCAGATACTTTTAAAAAAAAAAATCCCTCTATGACAGTTCTTGGCACAATTAAATTAGACTTTAATTCACTAGACCGTCTTTTACATTTTCCCTTTGATCAGCATGTAATGATGTACAGCTCCTGTAGCTGTGATTATTGAACAGGAGAGAAAGATAGAGGCTTGAGCAGCTTCCATTGAAAATCGTGTCAAATAAAATCAGTGGGATTTGTTGGAGGGTCTCTGCAAGACGTGCGTAGCATTGTAAAAGGATGCCAAAATGGTTGTCAGGTCTTTTAGAAGAGCTCTTAGAGAGAATACGTGAGAAAGTAGACAACCATCTCTGCAGTTATTAACGATATCTATCTGGTTGCTACCTCCTTGGTCACATGCATTTAAGTGAGCTGAACATCTTGTACATGCAAAATGCATGCATGGCTTTGCAGATAAATGCTTATTTTATACCGGTTGAGATGAGATCTGATAAGCTGAAAATTGTTCTGAATTCTGATCACCAAGATCGTGAAAAAAATCCCAGTCATTTCTGCTAGCTTAGTCATTATAACAAACTTAACAACAACAAAAATAAACGTGGAATTTGACAAGCGAGAGCCCTACTAGCTTTAAAAATTAATTTTCATAAATGATTAAATGTTGCTACAGAAATCAAAGGAAAACATCATTAAAATTCTCGCTTTTAAAGCCGAGTTGCACTTTGCTGTAGGTTGTCTAATGGGAACAGGAGCTCTATGGCCACGGTACCTTAATGCCACTTACCTGGAGCCCTTTGATGTTGCGGTGCGGCTGCCCGCGGCCTCTCAGCAGCGGTTGGCAGGAGCGGCTCTTATATACCCGAACTGCAGGAACAAGGAAAGTCCAGGGAAGGATGAAGCAGGGATAGTTCCTCTTCGCTGGCTGTCAAGTGTGAACCCTGCACCAGTCTGACCCCGAATGCTCTCGTAGCGTTGCTGGACCGTGGCCAGCAGCACCCAGCAAGCCCAGTGGCTCACCCCCTTCCTCCCGGGTACCCTGCCACCCCGCTCCTCGGGGTTGTCCCCTCCTGCCCCCTCTGACTTTGGAGACAGCACACACTTGGGGCAGCTGCACCGGGTCCGAGGGTCCAACAAGACAGCGACCCGCAGCCCCGGGGTGCTGGGGCAGGGGCTTACATCCCCAAACAGAGGATGCTCTGGATCATGTCCCATCCAGCCCAGCGCCACACAGCTCCTTGCACATGGCCCAGCGTGGCTGGCCATGGCCATGGCAGGGACACAGGTCGTGGCACGGGCTGCTGTTGCTGCTCACAGTGACTTGGCATCTCTCTCACCTTGCTCTCCCAAAACGGCCCAGAGCAAAGCAGGAGGGTGCCGGCACCCAACAGCCCAAATTGCCATGGGACCCACAGACCCCAGAACATCCCCTGAGCATCACAGTTCCTATGATACAACCTCAGAGCAGTCAGGGCAAAGGGGATGCCACCGGGGGCTGGGGATGCTCCCGGCTCTCTGGCTGAGCAGGGAGGCCCCGGGGCGGATGGGGGCAGCTCTGCTCCAGGGGATGCTCCACCATATTCATTAGGGCACAAGGGTCTGAGGACAGTGAGAGGTGAGAAATTACCTCCCAACAAGTTCATTATGTACAGAAACATGATTAAGAAAGCCAAAGTTATCACAAACTAAAGAGTGTGTGGATTTACAGCATACCGTCTGCACCGTGAATACTGCCTGTCACCCAGAGGTGCACAGGAGACAGCTTGTGCCTCCAGGAAAGATCTTGGTAGTTTAAAGGAGGCTAGAGAGACAACAAATAAAAGAAAATGGGGAAATAAATACAGAGGGGAAGGGAAAAGGAGCATGAAAGATGACAGAAAAACCTGAGTCTGGATTTCCAGGTGGTTTTTAGGGTGGATTGGGACTGGAGAGGGGCAGGATGCTGTCTCAAAGGCAGTGATATTACAGCCATCCGAGCTATTCCCTTTCACCTCAGGAGCAATCGGCAGCTTTAGAGCCTTAAATTAGCAAAGGCTTCATCTCTTCAACAGGCAGCTGAACCACGGGAAAGAGCCTGTGCATAAATAAACTGTGCGGTTCATGCAGAGTTCACAGGCATCGATGGGTAAATTACTCCAGTGTCCCCAAGTGCTCCCGGGATAAAGCCCCAATAAAGCCCGGGGCAGGTGATGGCATGACGGGTCCTCAAGCCAATCAAGAGACCCCACAGCTTTGAGTCCAGTCCCTGAAAAGAAGCCAACATGTCTGGGTCTAACACAGCGTTTGCTGCCAGGCAGAGCTCTGCCCGCCCTGGGCTGGGTGTCGGGTGGGCATAGCTGGGACTGGGTAATGGGGCAGGGGGCTGCAGCCCTCCCACCCACCGCGGCCGGGGTCCCCAGCACAACGGGGTCTGTCCTGAGCCCCTGGGGTTCACCAGAGCCAGCCACCCTCGCAAGCTTGAGCACCCGCTGTGGCTGCAGAGTCGTCTGGATTTTATTAAACCCGAGCACGAGAATGCACAATACACCCGCATCCATCTGAGCATCCACAAAAGAGTCCAAAACACAACGTTTGGAGGCAAAAACCACCTGCGTTCCTTCTGTTCCAAGCAATGTAGGCGGGATGCAACATTTGCAAGGAAAAGACCAAGCTGTGTTTGGCTGTTAGGTACAAGGAGAATTGCAGCAGAGCATCCTTCGGGCAGGCTGGGTTCCCATCCCTCTGGGGGCAGATGGGGAAAACCAGGGGTCCCTTCCCAGCTCAGTGTCCTGGGCTCACGCCGACAGCACGATGAGGTCCTGGTGATGCAAAGTGGTTACTTTCTCCCTCTGAACATCCTCTGCACAAGCGACAGGCACTGCCTTCGCTCCGGAGTGGAGCTGAGGTGCCAGTGGGGGAAACTCGGGGCACAGTCCAGGCACTTACTTCAATGATGTCGACATCTGCGTTGGTGAAGTCGATGTTCAGCAGCCTGGGGAGGGGAACCCCTGCTCCCAGCACGCCTGTGGGTCACAAGCCAGCCCAGCTCAGCGTCTCTGAGCTTCTGCCCGGATCTCAGTCCCCAACTCCATCCTCCCTGTGTGCAAACCCCTCCCTCCGCAAGTGCAAAGCTCTCCGGAAAGGCTTTGTGTGGTGGGACTTAGCGCTTTGGTGAAACATATTGTCATTTGCTCCTGCCAGCAAAGCAGCAGGCGGGGGCAGCCCCGCGGAGGGGGCTACGGGACCCCTGCTTTGTGATGGACGGGTTCGCCTGATGGAAAAACGCTGCTGTCTGAAACGAACCTCCCACCCATCAGTGCAGGTCAGTCCCACTGGCTCCTATTCTATATGGTGAGGTGAGTTACAGCTGTACGAACTCATTGTATAGCATACAGGTTAGCACATGCGAGTACATTGGCAAGGCACACGAGATCCTTACTGTTCATTGCAGGCAGGAAGGCAACATCGAAAATCTGGCCAACGAGCGTCTCCAGTACCGAGACCTGCAACATGGAGAGGGGTCACTTAGTGCCACCCCTGGTCCCGGTCCCATGGTCAACCTGGCCTCACGCTGTCCTCGGGCACATGGGGATGCTCCAGTCACACCAGCTAAACCCAGCCTGAACCCTTGGGGCTCCAGCTCCACGGCCATCTAATGCAAACTCACAATTTCACAGAAATTGGACTTTAAGCATTTTATGGCCAATTTTTAGTCCCAAAATAATGCCATGCCACAGGCCTCTTCCCATTAGCACTAAAACTTCCTGCACTAACCACCTCCGGAAACCAAACGTGCTCTATCTGCAGGTATCCTGCTAGAGGAGAGCCCAGGGTTCCTCCTGACTTTTGCCATCATCCCCTTTGAGGCACCGGGATAAGCCTCCCCCAGCGCATCCCGAGGGGACGGCGTGGGCACATGCAGGATGTCCTGTGGTTCACTGAGGACCCAAAACCTTTCCCTCTCAGTGAGGATTTTTTCTGAAAATTTCTCATGGATCATCCCTGAAAAAAAATCCATTTCCAGAGGTGAAAGAAAGATGCCGTTAAAAATATGACACAACCGTTACACCGTAATTGGCCCTTATTTCTCCCGAGCCAATATCTATCAGCACTTTGCTTTCTGCAATAGATTTCACGTGAGAGCTGCTCATGTTCTTACATCAAAATCACCGACAGAAGAAGACACCAAGGAGAGATCAGCCCTGTAGGAAGAAGAAGAGGTGAGTAAAATCCAAGCAGTTCCTCTGATGACCCAGTCCTGTCAATGCCCTCATTGTCACACAGCTCAGGAAGTCCCACATCCATGGCCACCCCTGGCCACCCCCCAGATGAAGACCAGTGTCCTACTTCTCCAGGCTGACGCCAATCTTGAGCTTGTTGTCCTTGACTGAAAACTGGGCCAAGAGGGAGGTGTCCTGTGGTCAAACAGAGATGTCAGGGCAGAGGTGGCTCCTACAGCCCTTGCCCAGCCTGCAGCCCAACTGTGTCACTTTGGGTGCAGATCCCATGGCACCTCTTGCCCAGTGTGTGGGAAGGGGGACACTGCAGGAGGACTTTCTGCAGGATTGAAGGGTTGTGAAGGGTCGTTCCTTCATACATACGATATTCAGAAGGCAGAGAGACTTCTGGACATCACCTGGGTGGATCACCATCACCTCTGCTGTAGCCGTGAGCTGGATCACACCTTTATTTTTCTTTAAGGTCACCACTGGTGCTTCAGGGACTGCGATTTTCAGCAGCAATTCATGTGATTCAGGGTATGCCTTGAAAACCTGTCAACAACCAAAACCAGAAAGTTTCTGCTGGCAGGAGCACAAATGGTGCTGTAACCAGGAACCACAGAGCAGACTGCCTGTTCCAGCAGCATTTTGCACAGTGCTGCTCTTGGGGCAGATCTGATCCTGAACTGCTCCATCCCAACAAGTCTGTATCTCAACTGGCTGAAGCGAAGTCAAGCAAGCTGTGAGCTCAGCCCTGTGGATGCCCTGAGCCCCACTGAGAACGTCTCATGCCGGTTGGAGGACCACAGACAGCCCCTCATCCAGGCAGATGGAGCAAGGGTCATCTGTCACCCAAGAATGATGTAGAGGACGGGGTGACAAACTGAGATCTGGACTGCCGTGGTTTCCAGTTTTGGACCTAAGTCAGAGCTTGTTCAAGTCCATGGGATATCTGGGACAGTGCCTGAGGAGGAAGGGACAAGGAGATCTCCCCTGCCCTGGACGCTGCCTCTCTGACCAGGTTACCTGCAGTGCAAGGGGGAACCAGGACTCACCACAGGAACAAGGGCTCCAAGGGTCGATGTTGTTAGCGGCGGGAGCTCAGGAAACTATGATAGAGAAGAGAGAAATGCTGCACATGTGGTGGGGGTTACACCTGAGGCTTTTACAACATGGTCTCTCACTGGCATTTTTTACCTAAGATAGCAGAAACTCTGATAAATGGTACAGAGAAACTGATGCATTGGACAGTGGGACCAGTTTGCATGGCTGACAGCCCTGAGTCCTTCCAAACTTAGGACTAGGCAGTGGACCCCACTCACCATGCCGGTGGAGATGTCCAGGTCCAGGGCACCCTCCTTCTGCAGGACAGACAGCACCGAGCTGAGGAAGTTCACAGAAAGGCCCAGCTGGGAGGAGCTCGTATCCTCCATCGGTGGCAGCGGCGGCATGGGGACCCGTGGTTGTGTGGAGACAGTTTCTGGCTTTCCCAGAGGATAGCCACCCAGCCCTCCTGCCACTCGCCCGACGACAGTCTGGAGTTACAGGGGAAGGAAGCACAAACTGAAACGTTTGCAATATTTGCCTTTACGGTTAACTTCATGTTCCTTCAGTGTGAAATCGCTGCATGCACGACCACACCAAGTCAGGCCCCGTGACACTTCCTTCTCCAGAAGTTCATGAAATGCAAACCCCACTGCGCTCTCCCATGACGGCGGCAGCAGCAAGAGCAGGGCACCGAGCCGGGACCTCCCCAAGCTTCTCACAGCAACCTCAGAGCCCGCTCCTCAGGTGTATGTGGCCCAAGGAAAGTGAAATATCCCAACCCTTGTGTGTAGGTGGAAGGAGAAGATGTAGAACTTACGTTCAAGTCTACCTCAAGGAACTGGCCCGTTATCAGGGGAAGGCTGGACACGGTGTACTGGATACTGCCCAGCAAACCCAGGGGCACCAGTGCTGGAGGGAGAGAGAGCAACTCAGCAGTTCCTCACTGGGCTTGGGTGCAAATGCCCCCTCCCCTGCCCACAGACCACCAGAAGAGCCCTGGTTCGCAGGTGGACCCAGGACAGCCACTTGTCCCCAGGAACCCTTGTGTGTAGGTGGAAGGAGAAGATGTAGAACTTACGTTCAAGTCTACCTCAAGGAACTGGCCCGTTATCAGGGGAAGGCTGGACACGGTGTACTGGATACTGCCCAGCAAACCCAGGGGCACCAGTGCTGGAGGGAGAGAGAGCAACTCAGCAGTTCCTCACTGGGCTTGGGTGCAAATGCCCCCTCCCCTGCCCACAGACCACCAGAAGAGCCCTGGTTCGCAGGTGGACCCAGGACAGCCACTTGTCCCCAGGTCTGGGTGCTCTGTGCTGAGTGGTAATACTGCAGGAGATGTCATTTCCCTAACGAGCAGTGTGTGTCACTGCTGCAAATGGAGAGGAGAGCTCCCAGTCCCCATCGATGGCCAGCCTTATGCACCCAGGGGTCCTTCCGTCTGTGATTAGAGATGGGGACAGGGGAGATTTGGGGAGGGGAGAGCATCCCTCCGGGCATGCTGGGGCACCGCTCCCTGGCTGCTCCCTGGGGTCTGGGCAGGGAGCTGCCGGGGGTCCCTGCTGCCGTCACGGGGCAGACCTGGGGACCACAGGGTGAAGTGGGGGGTTTGCTCTTCCCACCTGAGGTGCAACAGAGGGGGAAGTGTCACAGTCCTCACGCAGCCAGAGCAGAGGTGACACAAGGGACAAGGCGTGGGACCCACCCAGTACTTACAGTTCACAAGACCCAGCTGGTCGTTGACGAGTCCCAGGGCGACGTCGACCACTGGGCAGAGCTGCAAGAGCCAGGGAGGGACGGTGAGTATCCCATGTCCAGAGCCAGACAAGGATACATGGCCCAGCTCGGCTCTGCCGTGCTTTTCCTGGGGACGGGAGCACCGGGTGCATGGCATGGCAGTCCCCTCTGGTGACTCCACGGTGCCGCTGAGGCTGCACCAGCTCTGGATCTGGCCCTGAGCATTTTGCCCTTCGGTGGATAAGCAGAGTTAGGACTGGGGCTCAGGAGCCCGTGTAGGATGGCTGGGAGACCCTGGGGCTTTCAGGACGGACGAGAGATTCAGTTAGCCCATAGCATGGTCCAGGGCATCATTAGAAGCTTCCAGGCACTTGGGCAGACCTGCACCAGGCTCGCTGACCTTACGTTTTGAAAAAAAGGAGCAGCTTCTTCCAAGCAGATGGAGAAGTGGCACTTGTCCCCCACTAATCCCAAACCACTGGGCGGGCAGGTGGATGCAGCAGCCCCAGGACAGTGGCCCTGCTCCAGCTCTGGGACAGGAGAGATGCCGTGGGGAGCTGCACCGCAGCTTTTTGGACTCGCTCCTTTCCGGGGTGGAGGTTTCTTCCAACTTACCAGATTAGGAAGAAGTCTGTTGAGGACACTTGCCAGTAAATTATCCACAATTGGGAGCAGGCTGTGGAAAAATAAAGGAGCACCATGAAAAAAAAAAAAACCTGCTGCAAAGTAAATGGGTCTTGTTAAACAATTCCCTGTGAATAGCGCGGAGCGCAGACCTCCCGGAGCAAGGCAATTGCAGCAGCAAAGTGCATCGTGTATGCTTGGATTTTGCATGAGATAAGTGTAATTTGCATCCCAAAATAGCCAGTGGGAAATTTATTGCTGCCTTTTATCTACTAGTGTATAGTCTTCTTAAATGAGCAGAAACAACCTCAGCCCAAGTGGTTTCTATGCCTTACATACCAAGCGCTTACTTCTCAGAAGACCCTGTGCGATGTCCCAGCCCCCTGGGACAACATGTCCGTTTACTGCGGCTGCGCGAGGGGCACACAGGGACCACCACCACCAGCAGCCCTTTGCTCACCCCTGTGACATGGCCAGCGAGAGACTGTCACTGGCAGGGCTGGCGGTTGCTGGTGTCACAGCCACTGGTGGGACTGAGATGTGCAATGGGAAATGCCGATGTGCATTTGCCAATCTGCAGATGTGGACTGGGGGGTGGCAAAACCCAACGGCAAGGTGGCTCCCGCTGGCAGATGAGGACACCTCTATCACTTACCCTCTCAGTAGTCTGACTTTAATGCCACCAAGCAGGGTATCGCAGCTTTCTGTCACCAGTTTGGGGTAGCCCGTGCCATCCATGGTTAGCCTGACCCTTGCTGTGATGTTCACTTCCACCGCGATGTCGAGCAAACCCAGGAGGCTGTTCAAGGGGAAAGGAGTGACCTTCAGAGGAGCAGCCTCTTCCCCGCAAACAGGATCAGTGTGTCCCCTCAGAGACATCCCTTGTGGTGGTGCTTCCACTGGGTCTGGGGGGCACAGCTGGCACTGCCATCAGCACCAGCCCAACCTACCACTTGGCATTGAGGGCCACCCTGGTGTAGAGGTTGACATGTACGCCGATGCCAGGCAGGAGCCGCAGTGACACCTTGGGGAGCGTCAGCTCCACGATCCTCAGCCTGCAGGGACGGGGAGGAGGACACTACAAGTGATGGCTCTGAGCCCAGCACCCCACCAACCTGGGCTCTGCCACTCACACAAAGCCACTGCTCGAGGGGTGGGTGAGTCAGAGGCCGTTTAGACAAGAAATGGCAAAAGACATGAAGTTTTCTCGGTTGTTTCGCAGTTTGTGCACAGCTTGTGCTTGTGCTTCTGCTTGGTGCTGGGCTTCAAACAAGAGTTAAAATGAGACAGTTGCAAACAAGTGAGCGCTGGTTTGGACACGGTGGCACCGGCTGCCCAGGGCCAACGCGTGGTTCAGTGCACCCTCTACAGGCAAGTGTCTTTCAACTACTGTTTCCTTTAACTTTCCTCCTGTAGCTCAAGATGCTCTTTTGCAGCCAGCAATGCAAACCTGGTGGGACTTCCAGGCAGTGCTTATCTCAGAGTATTACCTCCAAAACAGATCTGAGCATCTACTGAAGCATCACCATTGCTCCCCCCAAACAGCTGAGTTTCCCCCCACCCCTGCAAGGAGCCTGACCGCTGCTGTCCTTACCCAGTGAGCCCCTGGACGGTGCTGAGCAAGCCGCCTTCCCCAAGGATGCCGAGCAGGCCACCGCCTCCCAGCAGCCCTCCGTTGCCCAGAAGCCCTCCTCTGCCAAGAATACCACCAGGGCCACCGAGGATCCCTGCCGTGCCGAGGAGACCTCCGTCACCGAGCAGACCTCCTTGTCCCAGTGCTCCGCCAGCAACCCCTGCGGGGATGCCATCCCTGGGGATATCGTCACCAGCTGCTGGCCAGCCTCTGGGAGGGTTTCTGGGACCCCTACCATAAGCATCTCCACCACCCCCTCCACCCAGCAAGCCACCGCCGGCATTGCCCCCTCCACCAAGCAGACCACCAGTCAGCCCCCCCAGCAGCCCTCCGCCACCATCGCCCAGCAAACCACCAGTAATACCACCAAGCAGTCCACCACCACCGCCACCACCGCCCCCACCACCAAGGAGACCTCCTCCGAGGCCACCCAACAGGTCTCCACTTCCATCTGTGCTGGGACGTCCTCTTCCAAGCGGCACTTCTCCAAGAACACCTTGGAGGGCATTTCCTTGCCTGAGCGAGCCTGTAAGAGCTGGAAGCATCGCCCACCATCAGCCTGCAAGACAGAGCTGCCTCCTCGGCCACCGCTGCATCCTTTGAGCGGGGACCGGCAGGCAGCTGCCAGCCCCCTGCCTGCACCATTACTCATTGTGCTCCTCAGGCACAGGTTGTCAAGGGGTTTGTGCTCTCCATTGCCATCGCTGCCTATCCCTAACTATCTGCTGTCAGTTTTTCCTCATATATAATGCAACAGAAAAAGAGTTTGGGGATCCAGGACAGGAGGCACCATGACAAGACCTGTGGTAAAGCAGCTCAGGGGAATTGGCCTGCAGTCGCACCAGGTAAGACAGCAAATGGTGTGGCACAGTTGCAAGGGTTGGGTACTGACAAATCCTAAACGTGAGATAATCGAGGTGCCGTGTGGCTTGCACCTGCTGAGAGGTGGATCACACCTCTGGAGCGGTGCAGGCTCCTGGGAGGAGCAATCCCCCACATAAGCAATGTCTTTCTCCTTTTCGGAGCCTGGCCAATTTTAATTATATTGAAAACTGACCCCAGGTT